CTGCTAACTTATGTAAAGGAATTCAGAAAAATTAATATAATTAGACACACAACACTGCATAACTCTGGGCATGTCTACACATCACCATATGGTGACATTACTATGGCATCATGCTTTTGGAAGTACTAAAGTACAGCACAGTACAAGTGGTTACTGAGCTGTGTGCATGGCACATGAGTAAATTTTGCCCCTGTATTGCCACAGCAGCATGCTATACCCATGGAGTACACCATTATGGTGACATAGCTGGCAACCATGTGTAGACACACATGATCACTATGTCCCCATAGCGCACCATGCAGCGATGTAGCACATTGCTACATCACCATAAGGTGATGTGTAAAGGTGCCGTCCTAGAAAATTTTGGGAACTAGCTAAGTATATGAATTGAACCCAAAGTTTTAAATCCCAGTCCAGTATACTGTCCATCACTGTATCTTTCCTACTCCCAAAACCTATCACCTAGAGCCCAATTCTATATTGCCTATTCATGTAAATCTCCCTCTGTGGCCACTGTTTAAGCAAGATGAGATCTATAGGTAAAAAGTGAGTGTACAAATCGTTATTTTTTTCTTGATTGACAAGTAACACATTTGTAATCTTTGAAATATAAATCTATCAGTACATCATATCAATTTTGTAATTTTTAACAACACAAGCAAATTCATCATTTTGAATGTTTCTCAAGAAAATGTGTTAGAAAAATTAAGTCATTTCAGTATTGAACTAAAGAACACCCAAATACTTACTGTATTTTCTGTTCCTTTGCAAAGTTCTAAAAGGTGTACTTTTGTTTTTTCATAAGGACTTAATGTATGGGGGTTTGCAATGGAGTAAACAGCCATTCATCTCTAGGTTGCTATGGTAAGATGTTTAAAAGTGTCTAAAGGACTTAGATGCTTCTAAAAATCCTATTCTTAGTTCATAAATAACCACACTTAATGGTTACTGAAAGTAGTTTGCAGTAGCATCTGATGTGTGAAAGGAGGAAGGGACAATCTGGATGTGTGTATTTGTGCATGCAATCATTCCATCCCAAGTGCAGAATTTTGCACTTGCCCTTGTATCCATGTGATTGACTGTGGACCATTTTTCTAGTCTTTTCAGATCTGTCTGGTTCCTAGTTCTGTCTTCCAGAGAGCCTGCAACTCTATCCAATGTGATGTTATCCACAAATTTGCTAAACATACACCCAAAGTCATCATCCAAATCACTAATGAAGATATTAAACAATACCAGAGCCATGAGAGAGGTAGGACAGACCTCTGAGGAAAACCACTTCATTTTGCCTCCCAGTGAGACAGAGAGCCATTGAGGATTACTCATTTAGCAAGATGATCCAGGCAGTTATACATCTACCTTACAGTACTTTTATCTAGTTGGTATTTCCTTAGCTTATTAATGAAGATGTTATGGCAGCCAGTGTCAGAAGCCCTGCTAAAGTTAACGTAAACCACATTTACGTTATGTGGTTTACGTTAGGATAACGTTTACGTTATGTAGGATCTTCCCTACATCCACAGAGCCTGTCACCTTATCATAGAAGGAAATTAGGTTGGTCAGGCATGATTTGCTTTTGGTGAATTCATGCTGGCTCTTACTGATCGCCTTTTTCTCCTCTAGGTGTTTCAAACTGGATTCCATGAGGACCTGTTCCATAATCTTTCTAAGTATCAAGGTCAAGCTGACTGGTCTGTGATTCCCTGGATCCTTCTTCTTTTTCTTAAAGGGCACAATATTTGCCCTTTTCCACTTATCCAGAGCCTCACCCAACCTTCATGTGTTCTCAAAGAGGATAGATAATGGCTCAGAAATTACCTCAACCAATCACTACCTCAAGGTGCATCCATTCTGACCTTGCTGACCTGAAAGCATCTAATCCCTAATCTGTTCTTCTACTACACTAGGTTGTTTCTCTCCTTCTGTACCTATGTTGCCAACTGCACTCATCATCAGGTAGCCACCCCTCTTTTTGAAGATTGAAGTATAAGCCATTAAATACTCCTGTATTCTGAAAGGGTCCTATGCATGAATGTTGCATGCCTCCTGAAGCTGGGGGGGGTGGGGACGTGGTACAGTGACCATCCGCAGGCGGGACCAGTGATGTCGGCAGCACGGACACGGTGGCAGCGAGCGGGGAGGTCCCACAGGCGGCTGCCACGGCGAGGGGGGTGGTGGCGAGTGCCAACCAGCAGTTAGCTACCACCTGCAGATGCTGCTGGTGGAGTTGGTGGCGAGGGAGGGGTGGCAAGCGGTGACTGCCTGCAGGCACCTCTGGCAGTGTTAGTGGCAGCCAATCTCAGGGGGTGCATGTGCACCTGCGTGCATCCCCTACGCATTGCCAATGGACCTATGGTTTCTTGGGTCTTCCTCTTATTCTTGACATACTTGTAGAATTCTTTTTTACTGCCTATGGATTATTGTAGATGGATTTACAACTAAACAGAGCTTAGAGTTGGTATATCTTTTGCTATCTAGGAGGATATGCTGTATATTTATGCAATTGTTTAAATATTTTTATTATGCTAGAAAAATATGAATGATTAATTAGTTGTAAATAAGCAATGAATAAACTTTGCACACAGCTTGTATCAAGCTGCTACATTTGGATGGTAAGTGAAAATTAATTTTGATGAGCTACACTATAAAATCTTCTGGAGTTAAAGGCCAAGTGCTAATGCCTGTGATAACTCTGCCTGTCTTTTGCACTCAATAGTACAGTCTGTAAGTCCCCCACAGAATCAATCCCTTAACACAATGCATGCATGTGCAGATGCTTACTGCACAGTAATTTGCTCTATCATGAGTAAATTTGCTACCTGTACATACAAGTAGCAAATTTAATCATGATTAGTTACTGTGTGGTACAGCATGTGTAGATGGCTGACCAGGAGCAAACTTGCTCCTGGTCAGCTGGGCAGTAGGAAGCAGGAGATTGCTCCCTGCCATAGGCAGAGGAAGAAAATATTATTTGGGGGGGTTGAGTAAAACTTAAAATTAAAAGATGCTTCTACTGTGCTGCTACACAGACACCACCCAGCAGACAAGAGTGTGTGGGGGGGAGAGGCACGGCAGAGGGAAAGGGCATGGGGAGGCAGATTAAGGCCCTCATGGTGAGGGAGAGAGCAGGGCAGAGGTAGGGCAGGGGTTGGGGTGAATGGGGCTCTGGGGTGGGTTGTGGGAAGGCTGGGCAGCTTGCCCATGGGCACGGGGGGGTGGGGGTGGCTTCTAATGCTGCATGCATGCCAGTGTAGCATGGGGGGCATGTGCACCCCAGATTTGTGCATGGGGCAGAGTGTAGGTGGGCTACCAATTCAGGCTGGGCTCTGTGTCCCACTGCCGTTACCCCAAGAACCACGTGACGCCATGTGCCTCTGGCTGCTGGGTGGCCAGGGGATGTGATACAGCCAGTGTGCAGATCCCAGGGCAATGGCAGTGGGGTGCAGAGCCCAGCCCACATCAGCAGCCTGCCTCTGTTCCACCCCATGCACAGTTCCAGGAGTCATGTGCCCCCATGCCTCCTCCGGGGTGAGTCCAGCAGTGGGAGCCTCTGCCCCGCGCACCTGTACAAACTGCCTGGGGCTCTGACCTACCCCAGGGCCTCATTCACCCCAGCTTCTGTCCCTGCTTCTGCCTCACTCCCTTCCTCACCATGGGGGTCTCGATCTGCTCACCCATTTTCTCCCCCACACCCATTCCCCTTCACAGACTTATGTGCTGGGTGCTGCTCCACATGCCTCTGAGCCGCATTCCTGGCTGCATACAGGCTGCAGCTGTGTGTCTGTGTCTGTGCGCAACCCTCCCCTCCCTGCTGCAGCCACCTGGAGCCTGTATCCGGGCTGCCCTGTGGTCCTCTGCACTGCCACTCCTGCCCTGCATTTGGGGGGGTCAAAGCCCCGTTAGTCCCAGCCTTCTGCCACCTATGCTCCCTGACCCCGAGAGTTTCCTGCTGCTGGGGCAGGTTTCACCACTGGAGCCCAGGTGGGGACAGTGTCCCCCTGCCACACCAGCAGGGAGCTCCCATCCCCTGCACCTGAACATGGAGCGGGGGCTGGGAACAAGCTGGAAGATTGTTCCCAGCCACCACTCCATGTTGTTCCAAGCCCCAGCTCTGTGATTGCAGAGCAGGGGCTGGGAACAATCTCCCAGTACCCATTTTGTGATTGTAGATCTGGGGCTGGGAACAAGCTCCCAGCCTGTTCCCAGCTCCACCTCTGCAATTGCAATTGTGGAGCAGGCACTGGGAGATCCCTGCATGGGGAAAGGTCCCTGCCCAGCCTGGAACTGGCTGGGACCTGCCCCTGATCAGGATAGTTCCTGGCCAGCCCTGGGCTGAGTGGGGAAGTCTGCACCTGCAGCCTAGAGGTGGCTGGGGACTGTCCCATTTTGGGCAGTTCCCAGACAGCTCTGGGCTGCACATGCAGACTTCCCCACTCAGCCCAGGACTGGCCAGGAAGCAGACTGTTGCCTGGAGCAGCAAATCTGCTCTTGTTTCCCTGCACATGTAGATGTATGTCTGGGGTAGATTTACTTTAGAGTAATTTACTCTGGAGTAAACCTACCCCACAGCATTTGCATGTGTAGATGTGCTTACTTTGTCATACTTGTAAAGCTTGCCTCAAAAGTTAGCTGTTTTTTCCCCTGATTCTTTCTTTTGCTAGGGGGTATGCATCTTATAACTCTTTTTTTTTTTTGAGAGAGAGACTCATGAATTCAACATATTTAATTTTTTATTTGTGTGTTTTAGAATTATAAGTAATTTAGACTTTATCATGTTTGTATTAAATTTAGATTTCATTTTTAAAAGGCTTATGTTTTTAAAAGTATAAATGTTATGCCTGAAAATAAAAACATCTCAAAACAAACATCACATTTTTTTCCATGAAAATATAATTTATCTTTATCAACTCAGAAGTCAGCACTAACTTACAAGGATTAGGAAGATACTTAATTGGATCATAACCATTGCAAAAGTTTTTTCACCTTCCTCTACATTGAGTGGTGCAGGTCACTATCAGATAGGGCAGTGAAATCCTAAATGGAAAGTCCAGTGTTCCTTGGTAGGATCCAAACTGCAAAACATTTCAAGTGAGATGGAAAAGTTAAACATGATATGTGAAGTTTTGGGGTCACTGGCAAGTCATCTTCCCACTCTGGCATATTTCCAGAATAAAATCTTAGTATGGTAACATAACACTTTACTCTCAACCTGTCGTCTTCCAACTATTCTTATCTATTCTGTAATTTATACACCTCTAAAGAATGGAGTACTCATTGTTATACCAGCAACATATGAATCTATTATGCAATGAAACATGAGGAAGCAGAAAAATTAGCTATTATTAATACTTAGTGATTTCCATCTTCAGAGTATTTCGGTAACTAATATTCACACACAGTCCTACAAAGGAGGAAGATAGATAAATAAAAACATCAACCTCTTTTTACAGAAGAGGCAACATGGGCAAGTAACTTATCCTAGGCAGCCAACTAAAATGGTTTTATTATAAAGTTGCAAAACTTTATAAATATACCAGTCTGAGCAGTAATACTCATTCTCAAAATGGAGAGAAAGCACCTTATAACTCCATCCTCAACTTTTCAAGTAAACCCTGTTTCAATTGCCAATGATTGACTGAGACAGACAAGTAGGTTATCCACAAACATAAATATTTACAGGCAGAAACACTTTTGTTGGAATGCCTCATAGCCCCATATGGTCAGCTTTAACCAGTAGGAAACAGAAGGAGAGAAAAGGAAGAGCAAACCACTTATAGTTCATCAGATGAAAGCAAGTATAAGGAAAAGAGGCCAAACATAAGCATTTAATGGAAATAAGATTTTAATGGAAAATTTGCCTTCTTTTAGATGGTCCTTGAAAGCCACATAGGTCTTCCAAGGCCAAGTTGCAGAATTTGTAAAGTTTAGGATTTTAGACCATGCATGCTCCACCTCTGGCCCATGGAACCATCACATCTGATCCACATGGCTCCCCACAGAACGGAAAATATGGTGATGGGGAAGTGGTGGCCATTAATACAGCCACCCACCCCCCTGCCAAATTCCCAATACCTAAGCCCCGTGCAGCCAGTTAGGACTGGGCAGGGTCATGCCCCCTCTCCCTGCAGCTGTATCAGGGTTGGACCATGCTCCCCACCCCCATAGTCCCATTGGGATGGGCCATATCCCCTTTCTCCCTTGCAGAGCTGGGAGAAGCCTACCCCATGGGGCCCGGTCAGGCCCCCTTCTCTTGCAGGGATGGATTGCCCTCCAACCTCCTCTACACAGCTGGATAGTGTCCTCTGTGCCTGCCTGAGTGTTGGATTGCGACCACTGGCTGGATCTGGCCTGTGGACCAATCAAATACTGCCCATCTGGCCCCCAAGAGAAAATGGTTGAGCACCATGTTCTAGACCATTGTATTTCCTCTAGGGCATAGCCTTCTTTTGCATAGACTATACCTACATATTTTACACAACACACACATTTACACAACATGCACATTTTTTGGCCTGTGGTCTCAGCCAATAGAGTATTACTTATGTTCTAATGACTAGCTGTTACCATCTGATACCAAAATGGCTTGTGGTTTTAAGTCCAGTTCCTTTCGGATAAATAAACCATCATAAGAAGTAGAACTAGGCTGTATCCTATCCAGGCAATCTCAGCAAATAAAGATTGAAATGCAGTTACAAGACCAAAAACTTAAACAAATGTCATAGAAAGGAAAGTTAAGTCTTCCAGGTATAGGCTACTATTCCTTTAAGAGAAAATATTTTACTTTTTTCTTTATAGTCAATGACATGGTCTTCCTCAGTTACAGCCATGTGGGAAAAAAGGAAACGCCTTTGGCTTAGGCTGTATGTTTTTGTAAGTGGCATGTGAAAGTAAGTTATCATGTGTCTATCAGTTCCCCTGCACAGAAAACTAGATTTGACATCAGTTTCATTTAGCCATAATGGATACGACAGAACAGTTAAGCCTGATGGATATGGTTCTAATACTGTGTTGGACACAGTTTAAATAATGTTATTGTTATATTAGTGACACACAGGGATACTGTGAATTTGTGGACACAAAATAAAATTAAAATTGAAGGCTGATCTGAGGCTTAGCATAAAAATAAATTGCTCAAGGTATACACTTTGGGGGTAGAAAAATAAGTTGTTAGTGAAACTTTCTATAATTCTTATTTCTATAATTCTTCCCATCATATACTAATCACTTACCTCCATAGCATGATCTTATTTAATTAAAGTTCATCTCTGTAGGTAGCATAATATTCTGGACAGAAGAAGTAGTTGCATTGTCCAATCTAAAGTAGGCAAAAGAGTGTCTAATAAAAGAGGATACAAATGATTAATTGTATTTCCTTTACATTAACCTAGAACACATTAGGGACAGACTGGGGTCTCTCACTTTCCTATCTCTGATGCAACTGTTGAACTCATATAAACTATAACATAAATAAATAATTGTGATTCAAATATGAATCTTGTTTAAAAACACATGTAGGGTAGAGGCAGCAGCCTGCAGGAAGTATCACATGCTGTTGAACCCTTACCTCTTTTCTTTAAACAGCAGCAAGACACTCAGAGAATGGGTAAAATATTAACCTTTCTTTTAAAAAAATTGCACTTGCTATAATAATATATTTTAAGACGACAAGGTATACTCCTGATATATTGCACAGCTGTATCTTCAGAAGCTGGGAAGGACTGACAAGCTCTGGAGTCTACATTGTGTGAGGAGCAGCAGACATTTAATTAATCTCAGTTTCAGGGTTTAACAGTCATTATGTGGTTTCTGAATATCTCTGCTCTAGTTGACAGAACATCTGTGGCACAAGAAAAAGGACTTAAATAATTCAAAGTGCTTTTTTAACAGCTTACCTCTCCTTACCGTTATTTCTTTAAATGGTTTTCCAAAGATATGAGCATTAAATTCCTCTTCAGTCATTATAACTCAGTCATGAACAGTCAGTGATGTGCCTTAAAATTTAAACCAGGCAAGTCAAAATAATAAGAACTAAACACTGATTTAGCACCCAATTAATCTAACAACAATAACAACAATAATAATAAATCTAGTTTACTTTGTTTTTTTCAGTTTTGCCTGCAGTTTGAGTAAATTCTTGCATACACAATAAGGTGATCAAAGTCAAAATATTGGTGCATTATTATAAAAGGAATGTCTTAAATGACTTTTTTAAAATTATGGGGCAGATTCTCAGTTGCTGTTATTTGGGATAACTCCACAAGGATGACTGTTGGAGGAATAGCTCCACAGAATATCTCTAAATGATATTCCAGCATTGTTGATAGAATATCTTTTTCCATGTCATCTGAGGCATGTCAGAGAATATACCTTTTTATACTTCAAAAGTAAAACTGAAAGACTGATTAAAGAGAAATTTTAAACAAATATTCTATTGCCAGATCTCACTTGGCTTTAATATACATACAGAGCTCCACTTAAGAGATCAAGTTCTGGTTTCTATGTGTACAATTTTTCCATCTGAATTCTGGATGCTGTGAAAACTAGTTGAGAGAGAGCTTTGCAGGTCCTCAGAGACAGGGGTCAGGGAGGAGCATTCTCATGTGGGAGCTAGGCTTGGCACCAAAACTTATGAAACTTATTCTTATTCCTAGTAAGAGTACCTTGCATCTGTACTGCATACAGAGGGGAAGGAAACCCCTCCTTATCTGAATAATTAATGCTTTATAATGTCTCTTCTTCAACATTAAGATGCTCAAATTTTGGGTGCTATACTGATGGTCCAGAATTTGTTCTCTCGGTGGGGGAGGGTTGCGGGGGTGGAGATACGTTGGTTGTACCTCCCAAAAGAAAGTAAGTATAAAATAACAGATGAGCAAAAAAAGATGAACATATGGAGAAAGAAAGGATGGTGTGTCAGGTAAATGGCAAAGTACCATTATTCCTTTCTTGGGTATGTATACTGGACATGTTTGTAAACTAGGATACTATGCAATTGATAGAAGGACATGAGTGAGAAGGTCATTGGTTCCTTTTGTATGTATATTTCATTGTCCTCCTTAGTGAAAATTGCAGACCTTAGTGATGAAATCCATCTCTATGCAAAGAACTAAAAGGCCCATGACCACTTAATCCCATTTTAACCTTATTGTGAAGGTTTGCATGGGATTTAAATGGTGCACTTTGCTGGCTCTGGGAAGTGAGGAAAAATTCCCCCTAAAAAGAAGAGACCAAACACAAGGCTCATCACAGCTGCAATATTCATTTCTGGAATGAATCCAACAGTTCTTATCCAAGCCACTGCAGGCAAGCAGGTGGAGGTTTTTCCAGCTCCTAACGATTATACAAGTATTCTGAAGTCTGATAGCCAATTTCCATTATCTTTTGTAGTTAATAACCCCTAAGATAAAAGTGGCATAGGAGAGAGGCTCCAGTCTTTATTATTCTTATTCTTACTATGATTAATAATTCTTGTTAATTTCTATTTCTACTCTCAGATTAAGTATAGACATTCAAAAAGCCCAAGGTGGAATCAATCAAACTTATGCAGGTTTCTTCAAGTGGCGTAGGTTAGTTCAGAAATGAATAAGACACACATGCACCCCTTGGTATGGCATGTGGCAGGGAGGTAAACACAGGCTGTCTACATGGGCTGAGGCCAGCAAGTTGGAGGCGTTCCTGAATGACTCACAGAGGGCTCCCTGGGCTACTGGAGACTGCTGAGTGAAGATGAGCATAGCCAAGCAGCTAGGCCGCATTTAATTGGCTGCTGAACATGGCTGAGCACCCCCCCCCCTCCCCCTTCCAGCTTCTCATCATCAGCCATAGGCATCTGTCAACTGTGGGCAGATAGCAGAGGCAACTGTGTTTGGTCATCCCCTGAAACCCAGTTGTGCTCCCTGGGGTGTGCACAGCCCCAGGGAACATGATCAGGCTTCAAAGCATGGCCGAACACCCATCCGGTCCCCTCCCCTATCATCAGCCACAAGCATCTCGATCTGTGAGAACCCAGGGATGGGGCCAGCTGGGCACTTGGCTTTATGCAGTCAAACATGGTGCAAATGCTAGCATGGGTCCCTTTGGGTGGGGTGAGGGGGAGAGGACACAAAGACACCTGGTAGACAGTTACCTAACTTAAACTGATAGGGAATCAGTTACAGAAGTTCAATGTACTGTTCTAACCTAAACTAATTAATAGATTTAATAGATTTCATAGATGTTGGGGCTGGAAGGGACCTCTCAAGATCATCCAGTCCAACCCCCAGCCCAAAGGGCAGGAAATCAGCTGGGGTCAGTTGACCCCAGCAAGGTAAGCATCCAAGCATTTCTCAAATCTATCCAGAGTAGGTGCTTGCACCACTTTGGGGGGGGGGAGGGGAGGGGAGTCTATTCCAGACTTGGACATTAAAGAAGCTTTTCCTTATGTCCAGTCTAAAATGGTCTTCCAGCAGTTTGTGGCTCTCAGATCTTGTCTTCCCTTGGGGTGCCCTGGTGAACAGACATTCTCCCAGTTTCTGATGTATACCCCTCATGTACTTATAGGCTACTATCAAGTCACCCCTGAGCCTTCATTTCTCCAGGCTGAGGAATCCCATGGCTCTCAGCCTTTCCTCATAAGGCCTCTTCTCTTGACCCCTGATCATGCACACGGCTCTCCTCTGGACTCTCAAGCTTCTCCACATCCTTTCTAAAGTCTGGATTAAGTTTGAGTGCACATTGATCCAGATCTATCTTAGGTTCCATCATTTTTAAACCAGTCTATGTATGCTGACCTTCTGTTCTGTTACAGATTTAGTCCTTAGACCCTAGCACTTCTAACAGTAAAAGTGTAATGTTTGGACCTGGCTTTAGATCCCCATAATCCTTTGCTTCTGCTTGACTTATCCTGTTTATTTAAATATTTTTAAAAGAAAAGTTTGACATTTCTATTTTATAGCCCAGATTAACATCATCATCAACAATAAACAAGAACAACAACAGACATTTAGGGCACAGACAGAAGTGACAATTTTCACCTGATCTGGCCATAGAACGAGGTCTATAGATGTGACCAAACACAAATACATGGCTGTAGACAGCTTAAGAAATGGCTGATTGGGTTAAACTCTGAACCCTTGTGAGGGTTCAGATGAAGATTTCAAAACATAGCATCTTCTGTAACTTTTGTCTGCCTACTTGCCAGGGAAGCTGTTTTTGGAACAGGAAGGGGAAAAAGGAGCGGAGGGAGTTCAGTCTGGGTTTTTTTCAGTCCCTGCTGGAGGGTGCATTGCAGCCCCACTGAGGTGGGAGGCTCCAACTCATCCACCCCACCCTCCAGCACTGGCTGGGGCACCCATAAAACAAGCTTCCTCTGCTCCCTTTCCCCCCTCCTATTCTGAAAACAGTGTGGGTGGGCAGGGAGGAGGAGCTGTTGCTAGGGGACACTGGCTGCAGGCTCCCAGTCAGCAGCTGGATTCCCCTCCCTCCTGGAACAAATAGTGAACTTGTGTTTTTTTCAGGGGATCATTGTAACTCAGAATGCTTCCTGAAAAGTGTTCTCAGTTACAGCGGGGAGCTGCACTTCTGTCTGTACCTTTATATATACAGCTTGACTTTTGAGAATATCTGTATCTTCCAATGTGAACTGAAAAATAGTGCCTACTGAGCCCTGCTAATGAGCAACATGTGGCTCATTAAATCTTTTACCCTGGGACAAATAGTGATAGGACTTCAAAGCATGTCAGCTGTTCCATGGTAACTGCCTGTAGATGCACTTTGACTCCATGGTAAAAGGCTTCTAAACTGCAGTAATTTACCCCCTTTGGATGGCTAAGCTACTCATCCATCACAGTAAAATAGTTGCTTGTCCATGCTCCCAGTGTAATTTCCTTTATAACACAGGACTCTACTTCTTGACAATTGCTCCACCCACTGGTTTCCACATTGGGGCTAGAAGTCCGGCCCCCTAACTGCTGACCTTTGCCACTGGAAGTCTCTCCTCCTGTCCCACCCCCAATACTCCTTTTAGGAGGGCAGGATGCCATCTTAGAACCAGAAAAAAAACAAATCCTACACTAGAGCTAGGGACAGACATTACACATAAACCAGTTTAAGTGATCAGAAATTCATTTAAACCTGTAACAGAGCAGATGTTTGGCGCACATAAGCCATTTTGAAAATGACTGAAACTGATTTGAGATAAACCTGGTTGAATGTAGTATCAGACTTAACTGATATGATTCAGACTGGGTTATGCAATGTCTGTCTCAGACCCCTTGCTCATTTAAGTTACACCAGACTCCCCGAGCATCCAGGCATGCTCTCTGGGCTGCGTGGGGCTCTCTACTCTACAGAAGGGCTAGCCCCTCCCCTCTGCTCCCTGGCTGCAGCTTCAACATGACTGCAGGCATCTCCCTGACTTCTTCCTGCTAAACAGGGATTATTCCCCCCACCCCTCTGCCTTACAGAGACACTTCAGCACTAGCTAGCAGACCACATGCTGACTATAGTCCATGCTGTAGATGACAAAGGAAGACAGGCTTTTTGGAGCTAATCAACAGGTAGCTTAGTGTCCTTCCTTGGAAAAGCTGTTTAAGAAGAGCTTGAGCTAATGGAGAGAGACTTTGTTTTTTTAATGGGTTGATAAACACTGAGTTAGGGGTGATAAATATTCCCTGCTGCACTGCTCAAGTGTGGGGGGGGGGAGGGGGAATCCCTCCCTAATCATAGAGTCCTTCTGGGGCCTGGCCATGCCCCCCTCAGCTCAGCACTGTTCTGGGGGAAGGGAGGGCTGCTCTAGCACACCCCTGCTTCTAGCCTGAACTACTGTAGGCATGTGTCTGATTTTTTTCAGTCCAGAGGGGATGTCTGCGGTTACAAACCAGTTTAGCCTAGCCAGATTAGACTAACCTGCAAAAAATGAATCAGTTCAGGCTCAGGCTTTTTGACTGTCTGTCCCTAGCCTAAAAGTCAAAACCCTACTATAACATATTTTAATTTTATTATAATTTTTTTTTGTCATGATAGGGGTTGCATAGTATATATAGAGGAAATTGCATAATAACTAAAAAATAAAGTCTTACTCTTGTATATTGTGTGTGGGGGCTGTGGGGTGTGGTTGTGGTGTGTTTATGGTGGGCTGTGTGTGTGTGTGCATGGTGAGGTGTAGGGGGGTGTGCATGTACACCGGGAGGGTGGCGGGGAGTGATGGCCAGTCCTAGAGCTGCAGGGGGAAGTGCCAGATTTTTGATATTTCTGGGTTTTTGATACCCAGATTTATGAGGTAATATGGTATTACCTTTATCAACCAAATTTGTAATCTTTATAAAAGAAAGATTTCAGGCTAGTTTGAAAGCTTTCCATGAATTCACATGGTTCTTTGGAAGTCAGTGCTGAAGTTTTACACTGGGTGACAATCCAACCCATAATTCTCAACTACTTCGGAAAAGTTACACAATAATATCATAGACAACAATGTATAATTGCTGCATTTATTACTGGTAAAGTTCCTCATCATCTTCCTTAATGTTCTATCCATAAGAGGAGTGATTCTCAACTAGAGTGTCACAACACCCAGTGGTGCCATAAGATCATTTTAAGGGTGCTACACAATATTAGTCGTTTTAGGTATGCAAACACCTGCATATGAGCCACAAGATAAACCCAGAGATTCCAAATAGGAATCCACAGTGTCAAAACTATGTTGACCTGTTGTGGTCTTTCTGAGTTTTTGGCAACAGAATAATTACTCCATTATTTTCCATAGTCAAAAACTGAGTGAAAGCTAAGAGCTCACATTTTCTGAGGGGTGCCTTGAGTCTAAAAAGGTTGAGAATCACTGCATAAGGGTGTTTATAATTCAAACAAAAGACTGGCACTCAGGATGTTATTTTCACAGACTGAACACTTCCTGTGTGACCTAAACAAAACTATGACTTTATTCAGGTTTCACTTATCTGTGTGGGTGTGTATTTTTCCATATACAAGACACACAAAATACTCATCATCTGTTTCTTACGGAGATGTTTGTAATGTTAGTGATGGCAACGTATAAAAGTTCTGTACCCAGGGGAATGGGATAAAGTACTTCCTTTCTCATTTTTAGGTACTTCTGTATCATGCTGAATACTAATGTTGTCTCTATCCTTACCTCTCTCCCATCAAGCCTTACATCTCATTGTGACTTGGACGCAAATAAATCTATGCTTCCTAGTCTCTCCTTCAGAATCCTTCATCCATTCCTTAGTAACCTCACAACTGAAATTGTTATCTTCTCTGCTGCCTGTTATTCTTGGAACTCCCTTCTCTATGTTTTGTGACCTTCACCTCTTCATTCAAATGCACTTTTGCTGCAAAGCATTTCAGTGCTATTTCACCGATTGCTCATTTTAAAAGTTCAGAGAAGAACCCATTCACTAGAAAAGAAAGAAAGAAAAAAAGCACGGAGTGTCAGTATATGTGGCATGCATCCAAACTGCATATTTTGATTCCAGTCTACACTGGGAACTCTTTAGAAAGTGATTTTAAGCTGTCTTTAAGCAGTCTCCACTGAGTAAGGCCCTAGACAATCCAGACCCCTTCATCTCCCTCTAGCAGAACTTAGTCATCTCTAACTTCTCTGAGCTTGGTGCAATAAGCATTTAAATGCCTCAGATAAGATGCTCCTGCTTTCCAAACCCCAGACTGACTCTTTTAAGTATTATTCTCATAGCAGTTACGTGCTCTGGGGCAGAGGCAAAATTCCAAAGCAAAGTAAACAGACACGGTTCGGCCTGTAAAAACCACATAAAGTCAGAGCTGTGATGGTACAAATTACGGTGTGCTGTGAACACCCTCCATTCACACAGCTTGAAGAATTCCAGTAAATTCTGTCATTATTTTGGATGTCATACTCATAGCACAGGTAAAAGTGCATTGTATATATATGTATACTTGATGGTGTTGGTTGTGGTTAGGAGATTTTACTGTATTTTTTAGTTAAACTGCTTGGAAGCAAATCTCCTTCTGCAGCCATTGCACTTGCACTCTGTTGGGTTGCCAGGGAAATTATAGGAGGATTGTTGGTCACCACAATTACCCAGTAGTTAGTGTTACAAACATTTTCCAGCAACATGTGTTTAAAGAAGGAAATGCAGTTGCTTGGAGCTCTCCAAGTCAGAATTCTTTGGGGTCCGTCTCACTGATTTGGAGAATTCTAGTATGGTGGTAGTTTTTCTTCTGAAGTGTTAACAGCTTTCAGCCCCTGGCACTGGAGCTGTGTGAAAGCAAGAGCTTAGCATCACAGCTGCTCATACCCTGTTTTTCCCTGCTGCTAAAGTGGAGGAGGGGAGGGAGAAAGGAAGGATGAATAGCAGTGGCACTCATCCCATGGGCCCCAGAGCCCTATGAAAACAGAGACTATAGCCAGAACAAACAGTGATCTTAGAGGGCTCTCTGGCATCCAGCATCACTGGCATCTAACATTGTGGTGGCAGGGAAGAGGTGGTGGCTGCATGGCCTTCAGCTGTTTGGAGCATCTGCAGTGAACTCTTCACTGTGCATGCACCACACAGCTGAAGTGGGTATAGCTGCAGCACCTTGCCGTAATTGTGGATCTTCCAATGCCTATACCCTCCCCCTACAGATTTGGGAATGTGAGAAAAGAAGCCATGCACAACCATCAGCACAGAGGCTGTGATTCTGGCTGGCTCTACTAAGAAAGTGAAAAGAAGGTTTCTTACTCCACTCATAGAGAAGTCCAGAATCTAGTCCTTAATTCGGGCTCTCGAAGCACCCTCACTTATTAGCCTCATCTTACTTAAGAGTAAAATGAGCCCCACAAAAGTAAAATAATTTGCCTGAAGTCATACAGTATTATAAGAACAGAATAAAGGACTGTTCATCCTTAGTCCTCACAAGTGCCAGGTTTCTATCTGAACCATTTGGACGTAAACTCGTTTTAGGAAAAAGCCATCTGATCCAAAATTCAGTATTAGTTACTTTATTTTTGTGGTATCCCACTATTTTGCTTTTTTATTACTTAATCCTCCTCTAGCAGAGAAATATTTTAAGTGCTTTGAACTTATGTATTAGCCTTCACTCTAATTTTCAGCATTGGTAGCTTATTCCATACTTTTATTACCATTTACATGAACTAATTTGACTAATTCCCTCTTACTTCCTATCCTAAAAACAGATGGATAAACAGAGCAAAGTACATCTGCATCTGGCTGCACCTGATATTTTTTGAAAGTTAAAATTTGGAACCAATTAAGTCAATTTTAAATAAGGGCAATTCCTTTTAAAACCCCTTTCCCCACAAAATCAAACATGGAAGCATTCTGGATTAGAACATGTAAGCTGATTTGGAGACTAGGTAGCCTATGTTTTGTTTTGATGTAGACCTTAAGGTATTTTAAAAAGTTTCTTCGTGTGTGTGTGTGTGTGTGTGTGTGTGTGTGTGCGCGCGCGCGCGCGCGCATGTGTGTGTATAAATATAAATATAAACAACGCATACACACACACAGACTTATCCTGATGATTTGGAATTTAATCAAGATTTTACTGAAAACTAGTCATCATTGATTCCTAAGCATTTTCCATATCATGTTTGCTGAACTGAATATGAAATAAAAATCTTTCCAATAGTTACAATAAAGATCACTTCTTTTTCCAACAGATCAGGTCACAAAGATGTCTGGAAGCTTAATGCAGTGCTGTCAAGTCTGTGCTTTTGAAAACTGCCTCTGAGAAAGCATATTGACAATAAAGGAATCCTATCTATTTCTGTAAAAGAGCGATGACTAGGATGAAGAATTCAAATGCTATAATTTGTACCCGGAAGACTTGGTGTTTTACTAACACAGGTGATTAACATTATCTGGCAGCATGCTCAACCTACATTTTTTCCCTTCACTGTAGCCTCCAATTCTTTCCACTAAGAAAACACTGAAAAAGTCTGTGAGATCTTTGTGACCTTTCAGCATATTTGTTACACACTGTCCTCTCCAAATCTTCGACATGAAACTTGCAGTCGTTTTACTAAAATATCAATAACAGGTGTTGCCTTTGGAATCCTCTTTCTCCTGCTCTGATGCTTCATCATAGGCATTTAGTGTTCCCTGTTCAGGAAACTGAGATAGTGTGGCCTACCACCTCCCTGTTTACGTGGGTTACCCGTCTATTTCTGATCACCACCAGGTTGTTTGTGCACCAGCAGTGTCTCTCAAGGAAGGGTGGTTTTGGCTTTCATTGGCCTGAGCTCTTTGCTCTTTGGCTAGCAGTCATCCTTGAAGCCCTACCCAGGCTTATTGCTCCAGAGGAAGTGGAGATAACATGGAATGTTCTCTTTGTTAAGAGAGTGAACAAGCAGGTGAGAAGGGAACTTAACTGAGACTAGCAAAACTAATAGTTAATTGAGATATAAAACAGCCTCTAAAATAAGGAGGGCTACTCAGTGGTATTTGACCACAGCTTTGTTTTGAAATAGGGGATCATTGTTTTACAGCATAATGGCAATGTGGGCTCTTAATTTTTTTTAATGTCTTCTGAAAATGTTTTCAAAACCTAGAAAGGACTCATTTTCACTTCTAGAGTTCATAAGCAAAAACCTAGCAGGAAACCAGAGCGCTCAGCTCCAGACAATCTGAAAACTGGGGCATTCTCCAAAATAAAGATGTGTGATGCAGGTGTTTTGAAATTGGATGCCTGCTCTGGAATATTGCTTTGGCATTCTGGCTCTAGCATCAGAAAGGATTTTTCCAGAGTCTAACTTTCAAAGTACCCAGCCACTGCTTTGCCAGCCTATTACCAAATACCATGGTCTCTCTTCCCTGCTGAGGACATTATGCACTCAGGAAGATGCTGTACAGATTCAAAAAAGTCACTAATCTCCAAGTAAATAAGAGTGAAAGGCAACAAAGCAAATAAAAAAAAAAACCCAAACCAACAAACAAACAAATATACAACAGTTAAGAGGCTATAACATAATCTCTATACTCAAAGTACTTACATGGCCCCATTGCCTTAGTATCTGAGGTCCTCTCAATCTTCAGTGGGCTTATCCTGAAGACACCTCTGTAAAATATGGAAGTGCTATTATCTCCATTTAGCAAAGGAGAAACTGAGCATAGCTGAGGAACACACTAAAATCAAATGATTGACCTAGGGGGGAGAGCAAAGATTGAATCCTTATCTCCCAGTCCCAGCCTCACACACTAACAAGGATAATACACTTTTTAATAAAAATGCACAGCCACTTGGAAAATATGCTAGAAGACTGTGCATCACCAATCAAGGGACATAGCAGCCCACATTGTGATAAATTCTGTCCTCTGGTATCTGTAAGTAGAACATGAGATGACAGAGAGCAGAAATCAACATAAATAGAGATGCACCTTGGACTGAATTCACTCAAACATCTAGTTCCCCAGAGAACCTGACACCAGGTCACCGCTCACTACTGCTCCTGGGCTGCTTATAGGGTGGCCATCATATAGGACTTTCCGGTTTTCTGCTACTCTGTTCTCTTTTGATACAAAACCCGATACCTTTATGTCCTCTATTTTTCTCTTCAAAAGAAAAATACAGGACATAAAGGCATCAGGTTTTGTATCAATAAAGGACAGAGGACAACTGTCCTCTGTGATGGCCACCCTAGCTGCTTATGAGTGGTACAGAACTGTGGAATCTTCAAAAGGGTTCAGATGAGGGAATTAACATTGTATCTGATCTAGTGATAAATATTTTATGGCCAGCTAATTTACTACTGATTTTTTTTTTGTCCCCAAAGCCTCAGATATTTCTTGTTCTCTCTACCTATCTGAATAATTTTCTTTCCCGTGTTTTTGGGGAAAGGATTTTGCAACTGGATCCAAAAGTACATGGTGTGCAGATGAAACAATTAATAGCTGTACAGAGTTGTGCTGAGGACTTCAGTTGCACATCCAGACTCAGTTATATGTGCCTCATTCAACAAAGTTGGGAGAAGCATTTTTGAAAATCTTGATGGAGTATGTAAATACTTAACCATGCCCAGAAAAGTTCTAAGGGACCTGAGCACCACAGAATATGAGTTAATGGAAACCTATGAATGTTCAAGACATGTCATGAGTCAGAGCTTCAGTTTAAGTCCATTCATGAACATCACAGTAATACCTCCTCTGCTCCGACACTACATATGAGATTCTCAAAGCAATTAGGCATCCAAACACCACTGAAAGTCAACAAGAGAATTTTAAGAGCACTTAAGGAGCTCATTTCAGTCTCAATGTTTAACACCCAAGAAAAATATTAGTGAGAACTGGAAGCTTTTGAAAACTCAGTGTAAGCAAGACCTGTGCTTCTAAATCACATAGATAGTTTTGAAAGGGGCATTATGGGTGGGGTTTAATTTCCTTAGATTTTTTTTTAAATCCCAGACAACACACCTTGAAAATCTACCTTCCCTTGTTGAAACTCTCTTTCACTTTGACTCTAAACCTTGGAACAATAGAACTTTTCTGAATCTAATTGTTTTAAAACACTCCATCAATATATGGACTATTTCTAAAGCGTGCATTTCTATTTTATAAAATCCTGACTATCACATTAAAACAAAGTTCAATTTCATACATTTTATACTAGAACTATGCAACCAAATGTACAGACCTGCCTAATAACAGTAACTGGGTGCATCTACACAAGATGGTATGTTGCCATAGTGATGAGCTACGGCGATGTATCTCATCACTGCTGTGATGTAGCATTGGTGGGCACTAACTGTGACACCAATGCTACTGCGCAGTAGCAATGAGCTACTGTGCAGTAGCTCGTTGCTACTGTGCAGAAGGGTTGAAAATGACCTGTACACCACTGGGACTGAGCAGTACCAACTATGCAGTCAGGGGCACGTGTAAACATACCCACTGAGAATATAAGATCACGCTGGGCATTAATTCTACATGACAATTTTATTTTTATCCTTCTGTTTGTCTAAACAAAAGCAAACTTGGCTGAGTAATTTTTCCTTTACTGATGTTAGTCATGCAAATATTTACTCACTTGCCTAAGCCAGGGTTTCAGCTAAAACAGCTTTTTTTCCAACTAAATTAGGTAATTTAAACTGTCATATACCATTAAAGCAGAAGAATTTTCACACTTGAACTCCATAAAGTATCAGCTCTATTCATGATTAAAGATAATTTACTACATTTGACCTTGCACTACTGTGGAGATTTCTAAATGTAATCAGTAATGGATTCTTGTTACCAACTTAAAACTGAATTTAAATATTTATTAGAGTATGACCTGGAAGGTCAGGACTAAATCCTGCAAGTCTTATTTAGGTAAAACCTCCCATTGACTTCAAAGGCTGTTTTACCTGGGGTAGCAGTACCAGATCAGCATGGTTTGTTCAGGTGTGTTGTCATTAGCTATGAGGTCAGAGCTGTGTACCAACTCCCAGCTAATGCAAAGCTATTACCTCATCATTAAAATATAGTTTGTACAAGTATTTGCAAGACTCCTTCCTGTCTCTTTGTTGTCTTTGGTGTCTTTGCTAAAAATATAGCAATAACTGCTATTGTGGTTTCTATGCAACTGCTCTTTCTTTATTACCTGGAGGTTTAGAAAAAATGTGTAATATTTGTAGTTACAGTTATGCTAGAGAAAGAGGCCAAATTTAGGACTCTTTTTTTCCCCTAACCAGCCCCTCCCTTATATTTTCTGATTTGAAAAATAGAACCTGGAACCAAACAAATCTCTCCCTAATTTTAACTTTCATACTATAATCTTTCGGGTTTTTTCATGTGGAGTAGCCACTCATTCCCTGTTGGAAAGTCCATGGTTAACAAAAAAAGCTGCCTTTATTACTTTAGTATTGAAACTGGAAGTATCTCCCAGGCAGTCTAAATGTCTGAGCTGGATACAAAATCCACTGAAGTAAAAAGAGTCTTTCCACTGACTTCAGTGAATTTGGGATTAGACTCCATACAAGTTTTTGATGTTCACTAGAGGATATTTCTAGATCAAACTACACTTTCAGTGCCCTTAGTCAATGTTTCAGTGAGAAAACAACAGCTTTCCAAAGGTTGTATTGCAAACTGGAGGGCAGTTGGAGCATCCTTCCTCTCACCTCAGGTCTCAGCACACCAAAACCAGAAGACAGGAGGTAAGTTAAAACAAGCCTTCCAGGTGCTGTTTTCCAAAATCAAACAACTTTTCAGTAAGAGTTGCCTGCTGTCCTTTGCAAATATAAAATAATGAATTTTCATTCTAGGTAGATTATTTCACATAAGGAAAATAATGTGGAAAGAACAGCAACAATTGTTCTCATAACAGAGGGAGTATTAGGTACCTGGATCCTTGACTTGTGAATGCCAGTCACTTTGACCCCATTTCAGCAAAGCTCTCAAACACGTGCTCAACTCCCATTGATTCTAGGGGGGATGTTAAACATATGTATAAATGCTGTGGTGCACAGGGCCTCCATAACAGCTGTCTTGAACAAACTTACAGCAGTGCTTCCCACACAGAGATTTAGGGAGAAATCTGATAAAAGCAGATGTAAAGAGCTGCTGGAAAAAGTCATTTGCTCTACACAAGTTTTATTGATCCTACAAGTCCAAGGAACTATTGAGGTACCAATCAGCATTTTTTTTTAGCACAGCTTAACTGCCAATTAATCTATTTACTTACATACAGGCACGGAGCATTCCTGTAACAAGTCCTGAAGTTACAGGGCTATATATACAAAGAACATCCCAAGAAAGTATCACAACTGATTGTTGGCTCTTATGCACCATGGAGTAAAAGTCGAAGTGCTTATCACGTGTCAGAGTGGCTTTTAAGTGCCTCATGACTAGGGATCCTGTTTTTCTCTGATTTAAAAAAATTCCCAATTTTTGGTTTAAAAAAGTGACCCACAATCCACACTTTTCCATGATTAAAATGAAACACCACTAATTTATAAATATCTATAGCTATAGATATTTATACAGTGTAATGGAAAAATGTGGATTTTGGGTTACTTTTTTAAACTGTGGAGTAGACTAATTAGTTGCACAGTAAAGTGTTACCATCTACACGTGTGGCAGTATTAGGCATTCATAGACATTCATAGATATTCATAGATATTCGGGCTGGAAGGGACCCTAAAGGATCATCGAATCCAGCCCCTGCCCCAGGGGCAGGAAGTCAGCAGGGATCATAGAATCCCAGCAAGATAAGCATCCAAATGTGTCTTGAAGGTGTTCAAAGTAGGTGCTTGAACCACCTCCGGTGGCAGTCTGTTCCAAACCTTGGGGGCTCGGACAGTGAAGAAGTTCTTCCTTATGTCCAGCCTGAATCGGTCGCTGCGGAGATTATGTCCATTCAATCTTGTCATCCCTTGGGGTGCTCTGGTGAACAGACATTCCCCCAGATCCCGGTGACCACCCTTGATAAACTTATAGGTGGCTACCAGATCATCCCTGAGCCCGTGCTTCTCCAAGCTGAAAAGTCCCATGGCTCAGCCTCTCATCATAAGGTCATTTTTCTTGACCTCTGATCACATGCATCACTCTCCTCTGCACTCTCTCAAGTATCTCCACATCCTTTTTGAATTGTGGAGCCTAAAACTGGACACAGTACTCCAGCTGCGACCTCACCAAGGCCGAGTACAAGGGGAGAATGATGTCTTGGGATTTGCTTGAGAAGCATCTATGGATGCAAGCCAGTGTTTTGCTTGCTTTACTAGCCGCAGCATCCTTGAGTACCCTTGGGTGTAAATTGTCAGGGCCGTCTGACTTGAGGGTATCCAGCCTTTCAAGGTGTTCCTTCATGAGGTCAGCTTAGATGGAGGGTAAGGAATATCCCTCACCTGGGCCTCCTTGATCCACAGTGGGCAGGGGCGTCCCATGGTACTGGTGAAAAACTGATGCAAAGTACCCATTTAGCAAGTTTGCTTTTTCATGGGCATCGGTTGTCAGTTGTCCCATCTGGTTTAGCAGGGGTCCAATGTTACCCTCACTTTTCCTCCGGCTCCCCACATATCTGAAAAATGACTTTTTATTGTCCTTGATATTTGTAGCTAGCTGGAGCTCCATCACAGCCT